ATATGTTTTATTTTAGGTTGCTAGTTTGGCCATCTTTTGTCCTAGACTGGCTGCTTTTGTTCTTGATCAAGAAATTATTAACACTAGCTAGGGAGATGTTATTGAGAAAGTTGCCTTGAAAATAGGAGAAGTGAAACAGAATTTCTTCTTGATTATGTCTTAGTATTCAGGACCTTTGACATAAAGCTATTTGGATTATTTGTGCTGAACCAGAGTTTGGAGAGGCTTATTCATGGGATGGAAAACAGTTTGGTTCAATTGTTAATTCAACTTTTCTACTTGATGATAAGTGTTATGTAGATGCAAGATTAAACTACCTCCTTCCAACCTCACAGTAGAGTGTAGTCTTTTCTCTGGAGAAAAGTTGCATCAAAAGTATGATGCTAATTACCTTCCAAACCATGTTCCTGCTTCTAGTACAGTGTAATTGGGAATATTTAAGGCTGTTGCTAATTCTGTTCACATGAACTCTAAGGGATTCAGTTGTCAATTCCAATCTCTATATGTCCACCATGCTTGGTTAAAGTCATAGTGGTCCTTATGCTTAGAGTTATCTCCTTGCAATGTACTTGAGGTTTGGTAAGTTTTCTGATAAAATTTCTATGTTCTCGCAGGTTTTATGCTTCAGAAGTCCTTCTAGCCCTTGAGTATCTACACATGATGGGTGTGGTGTATAGGGATTTAAAACCTGAAAATGTTTTAGTGAGGGAGGATGGCCACATCATGCTATCTGATTTTGATTTGTCATTGCGATGTTTTGTCAATCCTACTCTTGTGCAGTCCAGTACTGAGCCATCTTGTAGGATCGCTTCGTACTGTATTCAGCCGGACTGCATTGATCCAGCCTGCAAACTCCCAGTATGTGTAGAGCCTGCTTGTTTGCAGCCGTCTTGTTTCAAGCCTCGATTTCTCAGTTCCAAAACAGCGAAGGCAAAAGGTGAAAGAGCAAATTTGGTGAATTTAGATTCATTTCCTGTACTTATTGCAGAGCCAACTAATGCACGATCCATGTCTTTTGTTGGGACCCATGAATATTTGGCTCCTGAGATAATAAGAGGGGGCGGTCATGGGAGTGCTGTTGATTGGTGGACATTTGGTATTTTCTTGTACGAATTACTGTTGGGAAGGACTCCATTTAAAGGCAATGGTAATCGGGAGACATTATTCAATGTGGTTGGTCAATCCCTAAAATTTCCAGAGGGATCTTCAATCAGTTTTGGTGCTAAGGATTTAATCCGTGGTCTGCTTGCGAAGGACCCACAAAAGAGATTGGGGTTCAAAAGGGGTGCCACAGAGATCAAGCAGCATCCTTTCTTCGAAAGTGTTAATTGGGCTCTTATTCGCAGCACGCATCCTCCAGAAATCCCTAACCCATCGATCTCTCATTTCTAAACCAAGCATTCAAGTCATCCTTGCCTCCAAATGACAAGGGAGCCACAGACTCAGACAGTCATCTGGTCCTTACTTAGATTTTGAATTTTTCTGAATTATGGCGGGAAGCTACAGTGGTTAGTTAGATCGTTGATGTGTGTATTCATGTAGTCAATGAAATCTTATCTCCTTTGCCAGATTACTTGCCTTTTGCAGCGAAAGTAAATGTCTTACTGTTGTGATTCCTACAGTTGCTATCTGGCCAAAAAATGGGGCATAATAGGGAGGGACGATGAACCCACTTGAAACATGAATTCCTTTTCAATTGCTTCAAAAAGACGACAAAAATTGAAGCAACTTTTGCTGTGACTTGTCTTTCATTCGCCTCTTTTCTGTCTTTAGTATGGAAGAGTCTCATAGGGGGACCTCCAATGGTGGGGCTTAAGCCCTTTCCATGTTCACTCCTCGTTAAAATCTGGACTCACCCGGTTATTCTCTACAACTTTTGTCTGCAAATCAACTTTTGCTAAAAGAACTGAACCAGACAGTCATAGTAAATGCTTGGTTGTGTAAAGCTTTTGATGCATCTAGCAATGAGGAATGTTGTGTCACTTTCACGTTAATATTTTGTTTCTTGTATCTGCTTTTAACTTTATGTGCCTCTCCTTGCTTGAATTGCTCCCAGTATTGCTTTATCTTTTGAAGCTCTATGCTTTTACCCAGGAAAAAAAGGAAAAGGGGTGGGATGCACTTTATTCTTTTGCAGTCACCATGCTTTTATCTATCTATCTATCTATCTCTATATATTACAGATGATCCTCTTTCACTTTCACCATTGCGTTTTTCTCAGGCTACAGTACCTGAATAGAGAGGGTTGATAGTGATTACGGAAGAATGAGAACGATTCCTGACATAATTTAAACATAGAGAAATAACAAACACTGACAAATGTCTTTGTGTTGGAATCTCTTTAAACTGCACTGTTTGCTGAATTTTGCAAAATCAAACTTTGGGTATTAATCAGTCTGAAAAAGCTCCTTCTTCTCAGATAATCAGAACCCAAGTTTTATTTCTGTTAGACAACTAGAGACTTTAATATCCATATCTGAGTCGAAAAAAACCTCAAGGTTTGTGGCCTTGAATCATTGGGTTCATTAAAGAAATGCTCTTAGAGCCCTTAAATGTCGTTTGCTATCAATTTATAAACTACCAAATTGGTTTCACTCCCCCTTCTTCCCTTTGCCCCTAACAATCTTTAGTTTAGCAATATGCTTTAAGCAATTCAACCATGGACAAGTGTCACGGGGTCATTACTCTCTCTCCCAAAAACATGTTCACACCCCTTATAAGGAGCCCAGGACCTTCTGTTCCTGCCTGATGTGTGGATTGAGGCACTTTCCTTGTGACACTCTCACCCACCCGAATCGGCAAGCGTCCTCGCTGCCGTCGGCCACCCTGCCTGCCTCGTTGGGCCCCACTGGGCCAGTCCCACCGGGCCGGGTGCTTGGCGTGAGTCAGAACGAGGACCGGTCTGCTTTGATACTACTTTGTCACGGGGTCATTACTCTCTCCCCCATAAACATGTCTATAGGGGTGTGCAGCACCACCGTTTATAAGGAACCCAAGACCTCCCGTTCCTGCTTGATGTGAGATTGAGGTACTTTCCTTGTGACACAAGCATATATGCTTTCCTTTTCAATCCGGTCAGGACTACGTGTGAACACAATGATCACTATGTCAAGGAAATTTAAAGTATTCGATAGTACATATCTCTCTTTCGTTTTATTTGATTAATCAATAAAGATTCATTTTTAATTTTGGTTCAGCATAGTTTTTATTAAACATTAATAAAAGCATCTACTCCAGGATATGCACCATTGAACATCACGCCCCACTTCATGGTCCACCACTCTACTTTCTCTACTTCTCCATCACATATACATAATATTTTTTTCCCCATAAAGTGATGGAAAATAGCCACGTGGCAACATTTTACTGAATAATACTCTGCTTTCTTTTTCAGTTAAAGTCTACAGAGGTGATGCAAACAAATTATGAGCCAATGATTAATATTGTGTAGATTACAAAACGGTGCATGATGCATGCATGATAGGCAGCAATCCTTCTCCTCCCTCCCCCCCCTTTTATTTATTATTCGAACAAAAGAAGACTTAAAAATTGCAATGAGAAAAGGGAAGATCTACAAAAAAACAATATATATATATATATATATATATATTTGGACCCAATCAAATAACAATTTTAATTTTACAATGATGAAAGTTGACAAAAAATATGGCGGGTAAAACAAAGATGCTTTAAAATTTCAGTCTAGTCAACTTAACAACAGTGGGTCCTTTCATGCTTACTTTAATCATTTATATTTGTATATTTATTGCTTATTAAATAAAATATTTGTTATAATATAACTGAAAATGTAAATAAACTCAATATAAATGTTAATTTCTTTGATATTTGCTTTTGTATTTGAGTATGTAATTAGTAAAGATTATAGCACCCACACATGATTGTAAAGTTATCTAAATAGTCAAAAGAATCTACTTATATTGATATAAAATTAATTTAATGTTACACCTTTTCATATGTTTCATAAAAAATATATTTGATTATTTAGTGTTGAATTTCAAACTCTATTTAAATGATCGGTTTGTTAAAATATTAATCTTGCGTGAAGTTATAATGTCACGAATCCTATATCAGTAAAAAATATGACGAGTCTTGAGTATATAAATATAGATTTTTCATCATCTATCAAACATATTTTTTGGGTTGAGAATGTAAGGTCATGATTTATAAGCTTATTTAAGTTTTATTTGTAGAGTTTAAGCCCGTATGAAGTTGGACTTAAGTTTCGACTTGTGACATTTAGTAAGATTTAAAAAGACTCAAACTAATGTTAGTCTCTCTTCTTTATAGGTAAAGAGGGTAGAATGTCATACATCAGTAAGAAATGAAATGGATTTTGGATATATAAACACCAGTATTTTACCACTTATTTATTTTTAAGTCCTTAAATGTTTAAACTGAAATGAGATGTATATAAACATAAGCCTTTAACTACTTATTTATTTTTAAGTCCTTAAATGTTGAAATTTGTTTTAGCGAGGTAGCATCATTTGATGTCCTGATCTATATAGAAATTATACACGGTAAGTACATTAGATATAAAATCTAGTTAGGATTTTATTGCAAGAAAAGAAAAAAAAAATCTGGTCCTTGCTATATTCATTAGCGTTTAGAAAAGGAAAAAGAAAGAATACAAGTAATGTACAAAACTTAGTATATAATTTAAGGAAGCTATTTGGAGAAAGCAAAGGAGGAGTAGAAATTGAACTTGAACTTTGCTCCAATTTTGTCTTCTTCACATATGATCCTCGTGTTGTTTTCAGCAAACATCTTTGCCTCCTTGTTAACCACAAGCCTTAACAAAGAAAGAAGAAACCACTCCAAAAATAATGAAATAGTTGTTTCCAAAGAAATGTCTTGGAAATCCCGGCGCCTCCAACTCTTAACTTCTCTCTACATATAACTCAACCAAGCCTCGTAACCTACCAAAACCCACTAAGCTTCAACACAAGAATAATTCTGTTCTCAAAGCCTAGCTAGCAATGGCCAAAACTAAAGAGAACCCTTTTCCAAGCATTGCTCAATGTGCATCAATTGGACGTGATAAACACACGGTCGTCGCCGACATGGACGGTACCCTACTAAGAGGAAGTAGCTCTTTCCCTTACTTTGCGTTAGTTGCCTTTGAAGTTGGTGGTATATTAAGGCTTCTCTTCTTGCTTTTAGCTTCCCCCGTAGCTGGAATCCTTTACTACTTCATCTCCGAAGCCGCTGGTATTAGAGTTCTTATCTTTGCAACCTTTGTGGGAATGAAAGTGTCCGACATCGAATCCGTGGCTCGAGCTGTTTTGCCAAAGTTTTACTCCAGTGATTTGCATCCGGAGACTTGGAGGGTGTTCTCTTCATGTGGGAAGAGATGCGTGCTTACGGCCAATCCTAGGGTCATGGTGGAGACATTTTTAAAGGATTATTTGGGGGCCGATGTGGTTACTGGAACTGAGATTCATGTGTTTAGAGGTAGAGCAACTGGTTTAGTGAAGAGTCCAGGCATTCTTGTAGGGAAGAACAAAGCTGATGCGCTTGAGAATGCGTTTAAGGATGAGCCTGTAGCAGATATTGCTCTTGGGGATCGAAAGACTGATTATCCTTTTATGAAGTTGTGCAAGGTTTGCCATCTACCACAAAGATTTTCCCTTTTTTACTAAGAACTAAACTTTGGTACCATACACTAGAATTAAATCCCTACCATCTGTTAAGTATAACTTGCATTTTAATTCTAATTACTTATAATAGAACAGATTATTGTGCTAATTAATCATCTTAATTATGAAAATTTAATTTGAATAAAACCAAGATACATCTTTTAAATTTATAATGATACTAGTTAGTATTTAAAATTATAAAATCAATCTCCTAACTTAATGATTTCAATGCATTATAAAGGCTATTAATGTCCTCTTTATGTATGGGAATCATCTTCTAGCTAGGTCCTTATAATTCTATTTAATTTGGGTTTTTTTCTTTCTTTCATATTAAAAATGAAAATAATTTCTTTGTTTCAAATAGAAACGGGTGATGAAATTTTCAAATCCATGTGCAGGAAAGCTATGTGGTTCCAGCGAAGCCTAAGGTTGAAGCAGTAAGCCATGACAAATTGACAAAACCAATAGTTTTCCATGATGGCCGGCTTGTTCAAAAACCAACCCCATTCATGGCACTTCTCACCATTCTGTGGATCCCAGTCGGCTTCCCCCTTGCCTGCCTCCGCATCGCCGCCGGCGCCCTCCTCCCAATGCCATTAGTCTACTATGCCTTTTGGGCACTTGGTGTGAGAGTTCACATCAAAGGCACCCCACCCCCACCAGCCAAAAAGTCAATAGGTCAAACTGGAGTCCTTTTCATTTGCTCTCACCGAACCCTGCTTGACCCCATCTTCCTCTCCACCGCTTTAGGCCGAAAGATCCCTGCTGTGACGTACTCTTTATCGCGTCTCTCCGAGGTCATCTCCCCTATCAAGACCGTCCGCCTTAGTCGAGATCGAGCCACCGATGCTTCCATGATCAAAAAGCTATTAGAAGACGGTGACCTAGTTATATGCCCTGAAGGAACAACATGTAGGGAACCATTTTTGCTAAGGTTTTCCTCTTTATTCGCCGAGTTAACCAATGAACTTGTTCCGGTAGCCATGGCAAATCGGATGAGCATGTTCCATGGAACAACAGCGAGAGGGTGGAAAGGGATGGATCCTTTTTACTTCTTCATGAACCCTAGCCCTGCTTATGAAGTAACATTCTTAAACAAGTTGCCGCATGAGTTAACTTGTAGTGCTGGGAAATCAAGCCATGAGGTTGCAAACTACATTCAAAGAATGATTGCCGCAAGCTTGTCCTATGAATGCACAAGTTTCACTAGGAAAGATAAGTATAGAGCTTTGGCTGGAAACGATGGCATTGTGGTGGAAAAACCAAAGCTTTCTCCTAATAAGGTCATGGGGTGCTAGAATTTTGCTTAACTTGGGTATAACTGGATCTTCTTCTACAAGTTTTGTGAGGAACCAAATATTTTGCCCCATTAAAAAATGTTATATACTTAAAACATCACCTTGAAATAATATGTAATAATAGAGTAATTTTTTTTTTTTAGGATTTGAGACAGGAGATTCGAACTTTATTTTTTATTCAAGAAAATCATACACTAATTAATGAGTCAAATACACGCTCGGGTGCATAATAATGGAGCAACTTGGTGTATAGCTAGTGAAGAGCGAGATTGAATAATTAATATATATAGTTGATGAATTATAATTGAACTTAGGACTAAACATGGTGTCATTATTCCTTGTGACAAATTCAAGTTTATAAAGTCGATGTGAATGTGAAATTAAAGCGTATTTTCACTCTTGATTAAAAAATAAATATCTTCAACAACCTTGACAAGTAATCGGCATCAGTCTTATCTGCACATTTATACAACACCACTTTGTTTAACCATGGCTAATCTACCTGCATGCTCTCCAATAAGAGCAGTAATTACTTAGAAGCAATTATTTACTTTTATATTTCCCGTGTGTGTGTGTATATATATTAGATGATAAATTTAGACTAATTATGTCATAATTAGTATTACATTATAATTATTTTATTTTTTTACTTTTTATTTTGCTATATAACAACTTTTCAAAAACCCAAAAAGAATTAACAAAAAAATAAGTAACAAAACCATCAATTAAATGGAACTTTATAGTTTTAACTTAAAACAGTGTTAAGTTTTGTACTCCAATCCATTAGTTATGTGATAATAAAACAAAAAAAGGCAAAGGCCGCATAGTTATTAATGGGCCGTGTTGGCACTGTATGAGGGGCAGTGGCCTATGGCTTGGTTGACTGTGCGAAAGCCTAAAATGCCTTGGACTCAAATTCCTGAATGAGGCTCGTAAGCTGGCTAAAGCATGGTTTTATGGGGAGAAAATGGGCTGATGTAGTGCAACTCTTCATATTTTAATGGGTTTATGTTTTATAAGCAATTTTAATGACATGTTTTGTTTTTGAATGAAATAGAGTAAAAATAGAATCATTATTTTGTAGAAATAGAATAAGATATGAATAGTTATCATATAGTTTGATTCATAGCTTGGAATTGGTATTATGATTATTCTAATATTTGGCTAGTAAAAAAAAAAAAATTAGACTAACAAAGGAATAAGTGATGAAAAGATAAAAATACCCTTTATTATAATCTACGATTTTTAATTTAAAAATTTTAATTTTTTATAATTTATTAACAATATTAATAAATTTCTAATTAAAAATTTAATATGATTATTTATTTTTATTTTATTTTTTAAATATTAAAATATTAAAAATTTATAATTAAAACTTTCATTTATTTTTTAATTTGAAATATTAATTTTTAAAATGTATAAGTAAAATATTAAAATTTTTTATTTTAAATTTATTTTATTTATTTTTTTTTTCTTTCTTCTAAATCTATCGATCATCGAAAATGTGGTTGGCACAATGAAGCTTCAATTTAATACTCCTTGTGGCTAGATCTAGTCACTAGAGTGCCAAATCGATGTTTCTTATGATCGGATCTAGTTGTGGCACATTAGATTGAACATTTCTCATGATTAGATTCTACCATGGAGTGTCAGATTAATATTTCTCACAACTAAATTTGATCGTGGAGGTAATAGCGTCGTTGTCGCCCTTTGCCATTCTTTTTCATCCTCTAATAGTGGAGGAAATTTCAAGAGAAAATGAGAGAGGTAGATGAGCAGAAAGAGAACGAAAAAGAGGAAAATGAATATATTTTTTCTTATATAAAATAATAATTTTTAAAATTAATTAAAGGTATTTTTATCCAATAACATTTTTATCTTATTCCAACATAATTGAAATCGCCATTACGAAAAAAAAAAGAGTCAATCTTGAAATGACTTTTTTAAGAAATGACCATTGATAAGGAATAAGAGAAATAGATATTCCTTCCCCAGAACTAAACATGAGTAAATATTATTTTAATGTTTGCCTAAACTAACTTATGGCCATAAGCTTAAATATGACATCCAAAATGTTGCTTATGTCAATACCTAATAATACTACTCTAGTATTTTAATTTTAATTCTTTTTCTCAATTTGAATACTATATTTTTTTTTCTTTTCCCAAAAATTAGTCCATCTCTATATTTGTTTAGTAAGATATAAACATTCATTATTACATTAGAATGAGATCTGCGCTACGTAACGCATGTAAATTTAGTAAATTTTAATAAACGATTGTCGCAGATATAAGTTCTTTGTTAAAGTAGCTAACACTTGTTTAATAACAGTCATATAGCAGGTTGCAAAAACATTTTAGTTGTGTTTTAACTATACACAATCAACATTTATATGATACAAAAATATTTCTTCTATATTTGAGATGTTGTCAAAACAAGGCAAACTCAAAAAAGGTGATGATCATGTTCTACGCCACATCAGAAACATAGTATGTTATGCAATATATAACAAAAAATGAAGTCGTAGCATTTTCTTTATCTTTGAAAGATAGCTTGTACTATATACAACCAACACTATAATAAAAAGAATATTATATTTTAAGAAGTCTCATCAATTTTGAAACTCAATTTGCATATAAATGTAAATGTTGTGAGTGTGATTAATGTTACAAAAATTGGGTGGGTAATGTTGAGCTAAGGTTGTTAAGGCTGTGTCACTTTTCCATGTCCCTTGTTGAAACATTAAGAAAGCAATATTTGAGATCACTCTATAAACATTTTTTTAATTCGTTATACTATGTATTACATACATAAGTGAAAAGTATGCATGGTAATGGTGATGCTAATAATGTGTCCAGAAGATATGGCATATTTGAGTACGTGTGAAACAATTTGTGAAAATAAGTAAATATATAAGAGTAATTTATTGTAAAGAAATGATACTTGTAAAATGACACAAATACAAAAGATGAAAAGCCTCAATTCTGTGGAAGATATCATCTCGAAATTGGAGGTTTGTTCATCATCTAGTAGTTAAAAGTAACAATCATGAAGATATCCGATCAAACCTTTTCATTCCTCAATAAATGTCGTTGAAACTCAAGTATTTGTTCATTAAAGATTTGGTTTAATGTTGTTGATTTCTCACGTAAGTGCACGCATCGTTAATAAGTAATATAGTAGAAAGTAGAATTTGCTCTCATGAAGAATTGAATTAATCCCTACTTGCTAATTACTAAAATTATAACATCGTAATCTTATCCAAACAATTAAAAATTAAATTAAAAAGAAAAATTAATTTTAACAAACTAGAGACTAAAACTAATAGAAAATTAACAAACAAAATTATTTTATTAAATCTGATTGACTTTTAGATAGAAGATTATGATATCCCTCAATTTTTCATCTGATTATTATCTATTTCTCTTAACTTAGTTTAATGGATTAAGTTGCGAACTTAGAGTCCTAATTATTTACAAGTCTTTATTGAGTTTTTCATAAAAATATCTCTTTCAATTAACTTACTATATGTCCATGCAAATTAAATTAAAAAAATATTCATTAAGTTCTTGCTCTAAAGCAAGCTACATATGGCTTAGAGTTGTATGTCTACCCTATATATAAATCAAACCATTTAATTAACTTAGTGCATTCAATAATATGCTATTCTATTCATGGTCCACCTAAATCTCCTTAATTAAGGTTTAACTTAGGTTTCTAATTCAATCTAATTAGTGATTAGGCAATTAAAAGCATTAAAAATAAAATAGAATAAACAACTTAAATCCATAAAACATAAACAAAAGAGAGATAAATAAATCTGATTATGTATTGAGTTTAATCATAATCTTAGATAAATCATTTAGTTCCCCATCAAGTCACACATCATCATCAAATTAAGTTTAAACATTAAATCAAGCTAAGAAAATAAAAGATAAATGAACCCGAGAAATGCAATCTTGATTTTCCTAATCTTTTGGAATCCTACAAATTCTTCTCAGCTTTAATGACTTTGTGGCTTGATTCTCAGCTTTCAATCTGGTGTTTCGTTATCCTTCAAAAGTCCTTTGAAAGTTTATTTTTATAGGGCTTTAAAGTTAGGCTAAGTTGGGAGAAGAAATAAGTCAATTTCAGGTAGGATTTACTTATCAGACTATGTGAGCTACAGCCTACCTCCATCAAGGCCACGGCCTTGATCAATTAATTAGCAGAAATTGTAATTGCTCTAGGACTGCTACAGTGTTTCAAGTTCAACATGATTGTTGACTATTTTACAGGCCAAACTGGGTAAAGTGGTAAATATAAAAGTTGTAGCTTTTTCTTTTAAATTTTTAATGGTCTAAGAATCATTTGAAGCTTTGTAAAGAGAGTTATAGTAAAAATACTGAAACATATGTAGTGAAAACCTGCACCTTAAAATTGTTCTCTTTTTTCGATTAAAATTCTTCCTTCATTAAACGCCTACAAAATCATGACTAAACAAATAACTTCTCTTAATCATATTAACACCAAATTAAGTATAAATTAACTAAGATTAGATTGACTCACCTAAATTATTTAATTTAAAATAATTTAAATAAAACCTACTAATTTTCATGCATTACCACAATAACTAAGCTAAATTACTATCAAAATTAAGCCCAAATAACTCTATATCATAGAGTTATCATTTAGCAAACCTGCATTACTAAATATATTGATTATAGCTAATGACAGAATTAACATGAGTTGGAGGTTTGTTCATCATCCAACAGTCAGAAGTAACAATCACGAAGATATTCAATCAATCCTTTTCATTCCTTAATAAATGTTGCTGAAACTCTAGTATTTGTTCATTAAAGATTTGGTTTGGTAGATCTGCATTACTAAATATATTGATTATAGCGAATGATAGAACTGACATAAGTTTCTAGACAATCTTAATCTTAGAAAATTTGAAATTGGAAGTGAGTTTAAGGTAATAAAATCAAGCTCATAGTCAATAGAGCTATATATTTGCAATAACAGAAAAGGAAACTAATTTTCAGTTCATTAGCTAATACTGGTTTAAACTTTAATCTAATAAGTCCATGACAAAGTCATTTACACCA